AACGAGAAGATTCAATTCAGGAAGCTAAGTAGCAAATGGAAAAGACAGGTGATGGTTGAACCTAGAAGATAGTAGGACTGGCCCCGTGGATCTCAAACTCAGAACTCCAACAACAGGTATTGCTCAGCTGCTGTTGGAAGTTTGGGACATTAGTAAAAAGCTTGAAGAGCTGTAATCCAGAACCCTGAGTGTAACACACCAGATAGCAGAGCATGATTTTTTCTGGAGTGAGATTTAAAAAGTAGGGGGAGATCAAAACCAAGTATTGTTACCAGTGTAAAATCTATTATTCAGGAAACACTGATAGAAAGAAAACAGATCTCCCAGATTTCTAATTTCCAATTCATTCTTCCTGTTGCAAAACCCTATAGGAAGAGGGCTGGTCTAGCAGAAGTATGGTTCCTATAAAGCTGAGTGAAAATGAAGAAAGGATTTGGAAGCTGAGAAACAAGTTAAAAACAGGTATGCCACATATAGGCTATGGCTTTTTTAGAAAATAGAAAGTTTTTGAGAGAAATAAACTTTCAAATTATTTAAAACAATGAAGCATAAGTAGAAACATACTAGAAATTATTTTTTTAATGTACCTTTTCTGGATACAGTTTTTTGAATTGGGACTGATTGCTTTTGTTTCCCAGTTTGACTCTGGGAAGGCGTCACGTGAGGTCGACTCTGGGAAGGCGTCACAGGAGGTCGACCCTGGGAAGGCGTCACAGGGGGTCGACCCTGGGAAGGCGTCACAGGAGGTCGACTCTGGGAAGGCGTCACGTGAGGTCGACTCTGGGAAGGCGTCACAGGGGGTTGACTCTGGGAAGGCGTCACCCGAGGTTGACTCTGGGAAGGTATCACCCGCGGTTGACTCTGGGAAGCCATCACAGGAGGTTGACTCTGGGAAGGCGTCACCCGAGGTTGACTCTGGGAAGGTATCACCCGAGGTTGACTCTGGGAAGCCGTCACAGGAGGTTGACTCTGGGAAGGCGTCACCCGAGGTTGACTCTGGGAAGGCGTCACAGGGGGTTGAGTCTGGGAAGGTTGATGCTGAATTTTTTCCTCTTCTTTTGCAGATAGAGGCTGAACATCTTGCTGTTTTTTTGTAGCCTTTTTCTTTTTACAAAGTCCATAAAGAAAACATAATAAAATAAACAAAACAATAGGCAACAATATACACAGAAAACAAAACTCTTTCTTCCTTCTCTTAGGGGGTGGGCCACTGTCAACACTACCTCCATAGCCTTCTATCAGGCAGTTGGGAGGGTCCCACAAGTAATTGCAATGGCAGTGATGTTTATTGTTGCAGATGCCCCTCTTGTGACAAAATGCAGGTGAGCAATTGCTATTCAAGATTTTTATGTGGACACAGTGCCTATGGATGCATATATGATCTGTCCCACACTCTGTGCCATCTTTCACTTCACCAATATCAGGTCCCTTCATCCCAAAATGGTAATCAGTACTCCAGCACATTATTTCCTTGAAGCGAGCCCCAAGCACAGTAGAATGATCATGCAAATTGGGAATTTCGGTCACATTCTCACACTGAATTCTTCCACACTGGACATCGGAGATATTACATTTTATGTATGTAGCATCTTTGATACCACAGTTACCAACACGCTCACCTAAAGTGTTCAATTGTGTGTAGCAAATCTGTCTTGCAGTCTTTGCCCCTGCACCAAAAATCCTCTGACACTGTTCATTGCGGTCATGACATCTCTTTTCATAGCAGTAGGCCTTCTCCCCACATGGAATCCCATCTTCCACATATACATCATCTGGGCACTTATGGGAAGTTCCATTGCACCATTCTGGAAGGTCGCATTCACTGACCTCCTTTCTACACACTTCCCCTGATGGTAAGAACTTGCAGTTTTTGCAACAAAGTCCAAAAGCACAGGTAGAACCATCAGTCAGAGTGCAGTTTGACAGACAGCAGGGATCTTTTGCACAACGCTTTAAAAGTCCACAGTCACATTCCTCTTCTTCTTCAACAACACCGTTCCCACAGCGCTTCACACTAAAGATGTCCTTTGTGTATAGATGTTCAATCAAACACCGTGACCGCCCTGCAGTAGACCAAAAAGCACCATAACTGCAGTTGCTAAATTTAGTTACTGGTGGGTTAAATCCATGCATTATGCATACATGCTGTGAACACCTACATGGATAAATATCATGGCTCATGCCCAAATTATGACCTAGATGATGAGTCACTGCAATTGCAAAAGGGCCCAAAGTTTTGTTCAGAAAAGTAACAACTGCACAACTACGCTGTGGTTTGCACATTCCTCCCTGCACTGCTAAGCCACTTAACCCTCTTAATCCTAGATTTGTGAAAAGATGTGTGGCATCAGGTTGTAGCCGGGGATTAATGTTGTCCAACTTCCAGTTGCAAAATAGGTACATAGATTTCCTTACATCATCTACTACAATGGGATTTCTGTTAGTCCAGATCTCCAAACCAAATAATAACACCTTCACACCAAGTACATCCAAAATGGAATCCACTACATTAACAATAACATATAGATCCTCCAGCAACTTTGACTCATTCCTTTCATAACGAATGTATAGATTATTATCAACCACAAAGACAATTTCAATAATCCTAAAATGGATCCACCAGCCCTCATAAGAACTTTGCTTCAGAGTGGAATTATCAATTTCTTCAAATTCTATTTGGCATGTTATTTCATTTTGCATCAATCCGGATCTCACGGTTGGAAATTGTTTTTCCTCATTGTCCATCTTATACACCAGATGTTCAAATGTGGTAGAAGATGCCAGGGGCTTGATTTCATAAGCAATGTCATTTATCTGTAGTATTCCTTGAAATCCCCCGAAACAGGTACTGAGGGAAACCAGGGATTCTGAGTCCCCTTCCACATAACCATGATAGTAGCAGTTATTCTGGACAAAAGGCTGGTCTTCAAGGATAGCACCTTGGTCTGTGTAGGTGAACACAGGGAGGTGTTTGGAGATCAAAAGTTTCTTAACCTTTATGTGGATAATGTGTTTCTGGCCCCCAAAGTGCAGGACATAGGAGAGCCAGCCTGGAGCTTTCATGCCTCTGGCAGTACCAGTTATCCTCACGGGAATCACCACATCTGGGGTGCTGTGATATTGTGGGTGATCATCCTGGATGTGTCCAGAACAGGACAGAAACACCCCAAGCCAGTGCAGCAGGAGTAACACCTTCATGTTCCACAAGGCTTCAAATCACAGTGATTTTGAAGTCACTGTTATGGAAACACTGATCCAGAGGAGAAGTCAGGGCTGGAGTCACAGAGGGTGTGGCTCCTTCTTCTGAATTGGTCAGTGTGTGGCACTAATCATTAAAAATCCCTCTTCTGGCAGAGTTGAACCATCAGAGCTGCAGCACTGTAGGTAAAACGAAAAGCAGCACATGGATGAGTGTGATTATAAGAGAATACAGTGGGGAAGGGGAGAAAGGGAAAAGGATCAGATAAAGTGATTAATGCTTTGATCAAGGAATGACTCAAGAAATTGCCTAGAATTTGCTTTTAAATATTGATAGGGAAAAGGGAGTAGGGAGCGTACAGAAAATAAAACTTGGCCATACATGGATGGTTATTGAATATAATAATGGAAACTTGATTCACTATACAGTTCTTTATAGGTAATTATTTGCAAATATTTTCACAATAAATAATGAAAACAAAAAGTTCTTATGGGTAAGCTGAACTTATATCTTAAATTTCTGAGACAGTTTCAATTTACACATGTTAAATTATTATAAGCATTAATAGCTTTTTCTATTTGACTACAAATGATACATTAGTTGATAACATTTATCTAAGAGACATTTTAATAAACCATTCTTATGTTACTTCCAATTTTTATGGTACTTACCATATACCTTTCTATGACATGATATTTATTTAGTTTTCTTTTTCCTCCCTAACTTCCTCTTCTCACTAGTCTTGTCAGACAGGACGATCCTCAAGAGCATCACTGTATCTTTCACAAATATTGGTACCTCAGATAATGCCTGGCTTAATTCTTTATGTAATGAATAATGGTTGACTTGAAGGTGATTGTTCTTGAAGTGAAATAAATATTACCCAAAATATGTTTACACTGTATTACATTTTTAAAGAAGAATATTATTCAACATTTATGGAAAATTCACGCTCTGGAACAAAGTTGTATAGATTGTTTTTCCTGATCCTTCCTTCTAAATACAATTTAATGCTGTGAAACAAGTTAATGAACAACAACAAAAAGACTCTGAAAACTCATGGACCTAGAATATAGGAGGATGGTTAATAAAAAGAAAAATTCTGACTGGTGACCTCTGTACTTGAGCAGAGTGAGTTATCTGAGTTTCTTCTTACCTCTCATGTATATCCCAAACTGACTGCTAGATGGATCTTTAACCCCAAACCTCCAACAAGCATAGCAGGAAAAAAAAAAAAAGGAAAAAAAATAAAGAAAAGATTTCACTTTCTGGCCAAATGGCTAAAAATTGAAAAGCTCAACAAAGACATGGTGAGGTGCTCCAGCCCCTTCTTTGGAGTCAGGACATATGTGTGTGTTGATTCATCCACAGTGGCAATTTCAGATTTGACAGGCCTACCCAAAACACACTCCACTTTCAGTGCACTGGTGGGCTGTCCATTCCACCTATATTGGAAACATCACAGCACTGGATGACCAACCTAACCCTCATTCAGTAACCAGGTAACTACCTAACTGATCTGCCTTCAGAGGCATCAGTGAAGCCCTAGATAGCTGATATAACCCTGTTGTAGAATTAGTCCAGTGAAGTGGTACCTGAATGAGCCACAGAAGTATTATCCATAAAGCCTGATATTTCCTAGCCTTCTATCAGATGACATAGGAATACCAAAGCCTGATGGTTTCTGCTTCTTCCATCTTCAGGTGTGAAAGTGGCCCGATGACATGAGTGGCCTAGAAAGAGCCTTCTGCCCCAGGTGGCACCATCAGTGATTGAGTTGAAACCCCTTCAGAGTCAGAAAGCAAAGTAAAGTATAACGATATTAAAAGGGCTATCAAAATTAAACTTTTTTGTTACTCAGTCCACAAAAGCACACCAGAATATACACTCTAAACATAGAAAGGCAACTATCTTCTAAAATAGAAAATTTAATTAGGATCAAGCATCTCCTACAGAGTGACGTCAGCAAAATGGAAGTTCCGCACTCTCCTACCTCCCAGAACACATATCACCAACAGTTTTGGGGATGCTGTAAGTGTCCAAGAGTTTTTCCATTTCTCCTGGATATACTGATTTATGTGCACGGAGGTGTATGTAGTAATCTCTCATGGTAGTTTGTATTTCTGTGGAATCAGTGGTCATATCCTCTTGATCATTTTTTTATTGCACCTATTTGATTCTTTTCTCTTTTCCTTTTTATTAGTTTGGATAGCGGTTTATTTTGTTGATCTTTTCAAAAAATCAGCTCCTGGATTTATTGATTTTTTTGAAGGGTTTTCTTGTGTCTCTGTCTACTTCAGTTCTGCTCTCATCTTAGTTATTACTTGTCTTCCGCTAGCTTTTGAATTTGTTTGATCTTGCACCTCTAGTTCTTTTAATCATGATGTGGGGTGTCGATTTTAAACGTTTCCTCATGTCTCTTGCAGGCATTTAGTGCTATAAATTTCCCTGCAGACACTGCTTTTAATGTGTCCTGCAATTTCTGGTGTGCTGTGTCTTTGTTCTCATTGGTTTTGAAGAACATTTTTATTTCTGCCTTCATTTCTTTCTTCATCCAGTCATCATTCAGGAGCAGGTTATTTAGTTTCCAATAGGTATGTGGTCTTGGGTGAGTTTCTTAATCCTTAGTTCTAATTTGATTGCCCTGTGGTCTGAGGGACAGACTAAACCAGGAAGATGTTGAATCCCTGAATAGATCAATAACAAGGTCTGAAGTTGAGGCAGCAATAAAGAGCATACCAATGAAAAAAAGTCCAGGACCAGACTGGTTCACAGCCAAATTCTACCAGAGGTACAAAGAGGAGCTGGTACCATTTCTTCTGAAACTATTCCCAACAATACAAAAAGAGGAAATCCTCCATAACTCATTTTATGAGACCAACATCATCCTGATACCAAAATCTGGCAGAGACACAACTAAAAAAGAAAATTTCAGGCCAATATCTATGATGAACATTGATGGGAAATCCTCAATAAAATACTGACAAACTGAATCCAACAACACCTCAAAAAGCTTATCCATCATAATCAAGTCAGCTTCATCTCTGGGATGCAAAGCTGGTTCAACATAGGCAAATCTATAAACATCATCCATCATCACATAAACAGAACCAAAGACAAAAACCACATGATGATCTCAACAGATGCAGAGAAGGGCATTGATAAAATTCAACAGCCCTTTATGCTAAAGACTCTCAATAAACTAGGTATCAATGGAATGTACCTGAAAATAATTTGAGCTATTTATGACAGACCCACAGCCAATATTATACTGAATGGACAAAAACTGGAAAGATTCTCTTTGAAAACTGGCACAAGACAAGGATGCCCTCTATCACCACTCCCATTCAACATAGTATTGGAAGTTCTGGCTAGGGTAATCAGGCAAGAAAAAGAAATAAGTTGTATTCAGTTAGGAAAAGAGGAAGTCAAATTGTGCCTATTTGCAGATGATGTGACTGCATTTTGGAGGACCATATTATCTCAGCCCCAAATCTCCTTAAGCTGATAAGCAACTTCAGCAAAGTCTCAGGATTAAAATCAATGTGCAAAAATCATAATCATTCCTATAAACCAGTGACAGACAAACAGAGAGCCAAATCATGAGTAAACTCCCATTCACAATTGCCACGAAAAGAATAAAATACCTAGGAATACAACCAGGAAGGGACATGAAGGAGCTCTTAAAGAAGAACTACAAACCACTGCTCAGGAAAATAAGAGACGACACATGGAAAACATTTCATATTCATGGCTACGAAGAATCAGCATCATGAAAATGACCACATTGCCCAAAGTAATTTATAGATTCAATGCTATCCCCATCAAGCTATCATTGACTTTATCACATGATTGAAGAAAAAAAAAACCTTAAAATTCATATGGAACCAAAAAAGAGCCTGCATGGACAAGACAATCCTAAGCACAAAAACAAAGCTGGAGGCATCACATTACCTGACTTCAAACAAGGCTACAGTAATCAAAACAGCATGGTACTGTTACCAAAACAAGAGATATAGACCAATGGAACAGAACATAGGCCCCAGAAGTAATGCCACACATCTACAACCATCTGATCTTTGACAAACCTGACAAAAACAAGCATGGGGAAAGCATTTCCTATTTAATAAATGGTGTTGAGGAAATTGGCCAGCTGTGTGAAGAAAGCTGAGACTGGATCCCTACCTTACACCTTATACAAAAATTAACTCTAGATGGATTAAAGATTTAAATGTAAGACCTAACACCATAAAACCCCAGAAGAAAACCTAGGCAATACCATTCAGGACATAGGCATGGGCAAGGACTTCATGACTAAAACATCAAAAGCAATGGAAACAGAAGCCAAAATAGACAAATGGGATTTAATTAAACTTAAGAGCTCCTGCACAGCAAAAGAAACTATAATTACAGTGAACTCGCAACCAACAGAATGGGAAACATTTTTTGCAATCTACCCATCTGACAAAGGGCTAGTATCTAGAATCAACAAAGAACTCAAAAAAATTTACAAGAGAAAAACAACATTGAGATACCACCATCTCACGCCAGTTAAAATGATAGTCATTAAAAAATCAGGAGACAACAGGTGCTGGAGAGGGTATGGAGAAATAGAAGCACTTTTATAATTTTGGTAGGAGTGTAAACTAGTTCAACCATTGTGGAAGACAGTGTGGTGATTCCTCAAGGATCTAGAGCTAGAAATACCATTTGACTCAGCAATCCCATTACTAGGTATATACCCAAAGGATTATAAATCATTCTAGTATAAAGACACATGCACACATATGTGTACTGCAGCACTGTTCACAATAGCAAAGACTTGGAACCAGCCCAAATGCCCATCAATGATAGACTAGATAAAAAAAATGTGGCAGATATACATCATGGAATACTATGCAGCCATAAAAAATAATGAATTAATATTCTTTGCAGGGACATGGATGAAGCTGGAAACCATCATTCTCAGCAAACTGACATAAGAACAGAAAACCAAACACCTCATGCTCTCACTCATAAGTGGGTGCTGAACAATGAGAACACATGGATAGGGAGGGGGACATCACATACTGGTGCTTGTCGAGGGTTGGGGAGGCTGGGGGAGGGATAGCAGACAGTGGGGAGATTGGGAAGGGATAGCCTTAGGAGAAATACCTAATGTAGATGGTAGGGTGATGGATGCAGCAAACCACCAAGGCACATGTATACCTATGTAACAAACCTGCACGTTCCGCACATGTACCCCAGAACTTAAAGTATGAAAAATAAATTGTAAAAACAACAATTTTTGAAAAAATTATCTTTGTAAGAAATGCTGAAGCTAATTGAATGACTACTACACCCTGCGAAAATGAAAAATCAAGAGTTACCAAATTTAGTAGGGAGATTCAGAACACTCTCTCAGTGGAGTCCCTGTTCCCAGTGCACTGCCATGCAATCATAAAGAGAACCCCTAGTACCCAGCTTCTCCCAGTCATTGCAAGAGATTGATTTGTGTTTGGTACTTCAAAATTTTTAAAGGGCCTTTATACATGAAAGACTTGCGTCAGTTGCAGCTCTGACTGGTCTACCACAATCTAGCCTTCTGCAGAGGACGGAGATGGTGACTTGAGCTGGTGGATGCCACAGATCCCCCTACTTCTTGGCATAGAGTAAGCAGATGAGAGGAAGAGTGCTAAGGAGGAAGAGCGTTGATCTCTGTGTCTGACACTCCAGCTTCTCAGTGGCTGCCCAAAGCTCTAGCATCTTTCCAATTAGTTTTAGAGCTCGAACGGGTCTGACACAGTTTTGACACCTGTGGGAGAATGGAGATGGGGCTTGAACAGGTAGACACCATACATCCTCCCTACTTCTCAGCACATAGATAACAGACAAAAAAATCCCAGCTCTCAGCTTTCTCCTGGGGTTAGGGAGGGTATGGGGACAACTTGACTGGTGCATCCAATGCCCATTTCTCTGGGGCTATCCAAAGAACTGGCATCTTACTAGCCAGTCTTAGAGCTCTGAGTGGCCTTCCACAGTCTAGCACATCAGAGAAGAATGTAGATGGAAGCTTGTGCTGCTGGACACCATAGATACTCCCTTCTGTTCAGCACAGAGCAAGCAGACAAAATATTCCAAGTGTCAGCTTTCTTCTAGAGAAGAAAAGAATTAATAATGTGCCCAGCACCCAACCTCTCCAGGACTACACAAATAACTGGTACGAGACTTGCCACTCTTGGATGGTGGATGCCATCCCATCCAAAAAATCCCATGAGTCTGGTACAGTGTAGACACCTAGGAGAATATATTAATAGAAATGGTAGTTTGGACTGGTTGATACAATAGTTTCCCACCCCAGGTCAGCACAGAATAGTAAACAAAAATCATATCTGTTTCTTTTCATGGAGAGAGAGAGTGAGAGTTATTAGAAGGACTAGAACCTCTGGCTTTGCTGGCTGGTGGAGGTCTTCTCCTATACAAGGCTAGTCTGTAAAGACTGAGAGAGGGCCTCTGTGTCTAATGTGCAAATATCAACACAGATAACTAAGGAAAATATAGAAATAGGCAAAGATATTCCAAACAAAGAAACGAGAGACAAATCTTCAGAAACCAACTTTAATGAAACATCATTATGATTTACCTGATTTAGAATGCAAAACATTATAAAGATGCCGATGGGGGTCAAGAGAGCAGTGCATGAACAAAGTTAGAATTCAACAAAGCAACAGAAAATATTTCTTAAAATACCAAAACAGAAATCATGAAACTGAGGAATGCATTAACTGAACTAAATTATCTCATAGAGAGCTTCAACAACAGACTAGGTGAAGATGAAACAATCAATGAACTTGAAAACATATCACTGGAAATGATTTAGTCAGTAGAGTAAAAAGAACAAAAAAGAGTTGAGAAAACTTAAGAAACAGATAGGAAATTTTCAAGGACACCATTATACGCATTATGGAAATCTCAGTAGAGAAGAGAGAGGGACCAGAAAGACTATTTAAACAAATAATGGCTGAACACTTCCCAAATCTGAGGAAGGCAATAGACATTCAGATCCATGAGGCCCAAAAGTTCCCAAATAAGATGAACTCAAAGAAATCAACATTGAGACACATCGTAATCAAACTGTCAAAAGTCAAAAACAAAGTGTATTTTGAGATCAAGAGAAAAGTAACTTGCCACATTAAAAAAAAAAATGTCCATGGAACTATCTGTGAATGTTTTAGCAGATACCTTACAGACCAGAAGGGAGTGGGATGATACATTCAAAGTTCTAGAAGACAAGAAACTGCCAATCAAGAACACTATGCCTGGTCTTTAATAGTGCAAGAAAGATAAAGACTATTTAAAATAAACAAAAGCTGTTTTGATTACTGTAGTCTTATAATATAGTTTGAAGTCAGATAGTGAGATGCCTCCAGAAAGGATTATAAATCATTCTATTACAAAGACACATGCACGTGTACATTTATTGTGGCACTGTTTACAATGGCAAAGACTTGGAACCAACCCAAATGCCTATCAATGATAGACTGGATAAAGAAAATGTGGCAGATATACACCATGGAATATTATGCAGCACTAAAATAGGATGAGTTCATGTCCTTTGCAGGGAAATAGATGAAGCTGGAAACCATCATTCTCAACAAACACAGGAACAGAAAACCAAATGCCACATGTTCTCACTCATAAGTGGGTGTTGAGCAATGAGAACACATGGACACAGGGAGGGGAACATCACATACTGGGGCCTGTCAGCGGGGCGGGGTCTAGGGGAGGAATAGCAGGGTGTGGGGGGATTGAAGAAGGATAACATTAGGAGAAATACCTAATGTAGATGACAGAGGATGGATGCAGCAAACCACCATAGCACATGTATACTTATGTAACAAACCTGCATGTTCTGCACATGTACCCCAGAACTTAAAGTATAATAAAAAATAAAAGTAAAATAAAATAAACAGAAGCTGAGAGAAATCATCACCAGTAGTATATAACCTGCCTTAGAAAAAAATGCTACAAGGAGTTCTTCAAGTTGAAATGATAGGATACTAAACAGCAACACCTAGCATAAGAAAGTATATAACTTGGTAGTTAAGGAAAGTGTAGAGACAAACACAGATACTGTATTACTGCAAGAGTGGTGTGTAAATGACTTTTTAAACTCATTCCAAATATGTTATTGTATAAATTTATGGTATACAATAGGTTTTCATATACATATACATAGTGAAATGATGACAGTAATAATAATTTTTAATTCTAGTATAAAAGTCAAAAGACAAAAGTATTTTAAAAACCAAACAAGGACAGGTGCGATGGCTCAAGCCTATAATCCCAGCACTTTGGGAGGCCGAGGCTGGTGGATCACGAGGTCAAGAGATCGAGACCATCCTGGTCAAAAAGGTGAAACCCCGTCTCTACTAAAAATACAAAAATTAGCTGGGCATGGTCATGCGTGCCTGTAATCCCAGCTACTCAGGAGGCTGAGGAAGGAGAATTCCTTGAACCCAGAAGGTGGAGGTTGTGGTGAGCCAAGATCACACCATTGCACTCCAGTCTGGCTAACAGCGAAATTCCATCTAAAAAAAAAAAAAAAAAAACCTAAACACAATATGTTAAAAGATACAAAATGTAAATATATTTAAATTGCAACAACAATAAAATAAAGTGTGGGGTAGTGTGTCAGAGCTTCTGTGTGTGACTGTAGAGATTATTCTGGAGTTTCTGTGTGCTATTGAACTTGTCAGCTTAAAATAGACTATTAACACAGTTTTTAAGTAAAGGCAAATAAAATTAATAAATGTTAGCTAGACAAAGAAAAAAGAAAACTCAATGTCAGAAACGAAAGAGGCAACATTACTACAGATGCCACAAAAATAAAACAGATCATAAGATAACACTATGAAGGGGTTTTGCATGGAATATTTTGGCAACAATATAGGTTTTAAAACTACCACAGTATGTTTATTTTTCTTTTAGCTTTTCCATTAGTTTCCTATGGCTGCTGTAACAAATCGCCACAATCTCATTGTCTTAAAGCAACACAAATTTATTACCTTATAGTTTTGTAGTTCTGAAGGCTAAAATGAATCTCGGCCAAAATGAAAGTGTCAGCAGGACTGAGTTTCTCTCTGGAGGTTTAAAGGGAAAATCTGTTTCTCATTCCTTTCCAGCTTCTGGAAGCCACCCACATTACGTGGCTTATAGACTTATTCCTTCAATTTTCAAGGGTGGCTGGAGATAACAGATCAAATCAGTCTCAAATCACTTCATTTTGACTCTGCGCCCTTTGCTTCCCTCTTTGACTTACAAGAACCTTTGGGATTACTTAGAACTCACCGTGTAATACAAGGAAATCTCCCTATTTTAAGGGTGTCTGATTAGCAACCTTGATTCTATCTGCAACCTTAATTCCTTATACCATGGAAATCAGAATTCTTGTCAGTTTCAGGGATTAGGACAGAAACATCTCTAGGAAACAATTATTCTACCTACTGCATCCTCTTCATTGTATTCATCTTCCTAATAACTAATCCCATTGTCTTTTAATCTGTGCCTATTCTCTTCTTGTGAATTTTTCTTCCAGGAACGTACAGTCCATATATTATTCTCTTGTATCTATCAAGTTGTTGTAATAAAAGATGATGTCACTTACAGTCAGTGGTGATGTGAAGAGACAGGTGCCTTCTAATACAAAATATAGAATGATAAATCAAGCTTCACACTGAAGAGCAAAGGTGGCAATATGGTCAAAATCCAGAGTTTCCTTTTAAGAAATTATTCCAGAGTAATATTAAGTAAGATAACCAAATATTTAAGGAAAAAATATCATAGCATTACTCATAATAGCAAAAATATGTGAACAATTCTCAACTTTGAGTAAATAGCTAAATTAATCATATTTCATTTTATATGGGGCAGTAATCATGTAAATTATATTTTTAAATAATATTAAGCATCTCATCAAAATACGTGGTGTTTGTTTCTAAACATAAAGGCATGATAGAAAGTAACTAACATAATTTTAACTTTAAGAAATGATATTTGTATAGGATTGTTTTATGTATGCACATTACTATAAATATTCCTGTATTTTTATTCATTTATTTTGTATAGTTTATTGTGAAGTATACATAAATATTAACATTGGTATTCCCTGGAATTGTGAATTTGAGAGTTACTTATATTTTCTTTGTGGGGCCTTTCTCTAAACATTTTTTTCAAATACATATAAATTCTATTTATAATCAGAAAAAATGTATTTTTAAAGTGAAGACATTTAAACTAGGTTCAATTTTAATTCATTTTAGCAGTTAAGATTCTGACATACTATGCAGAATTTTTTTAATTTTCCTTTTATTGGTTCTGTAATGTTATTTAAAGTATACAATGATATTAAAGAAGACAATGATAATGATGATGATGATTAAAAAGGAAGAGGATGATGATGTTAATTTTTCCAAATACTGGGAAATAAGACAGTAAATTTTCTAATGACAGATCTGACTACAGGATGGGAAAGGCTTTGTGAACACTGAATTTTCTAGACTGAATGTGCTCTCTTTTCTCTCTCTCTCTCTTTTTTATTCTAGAACTAAACACCTTATGCAAAAATACAAATAGCAACAATGAAGTAGAGAGGATTTATGTGACTTTAAATGAAGGAAATGAATTTCATAAAATTCAGGGTACTAGTACTTGAAGATGATCTATGAGAGTGGCGATTTTATTTTCCTAATTGACTTACAGATTTAAGACAACACCAATCAAAATTACATTAAGCTCTCGTGTGTGTGTGTGTGTGTGTGTGTGTGTGTGTGTGTTGGTAGAAAGTGGCAAACTGATTTTAAAGTTTATATGAATGTTCAAATTCCCTAAGAATATCCACAATAATCTTTATAGAGAAGTACAAAGTTGACATAGTTACACTACCTATTTCCCTATTCACTGGGTAGTCAGAATGAGCTGCAGAATGGAAGATGACATGAATGTAGCAGATGTTAAAAGTCAAATAATTGCCACTGAAAGAAGAAACCAGCACGATTCAAGATTGCTGAGAACAAACAACATGCACACCAAGTTCAAGTTTAGAGATGTACTTCTGATTAAAAAGGAAGTAAAAAATGTTAGAAGTTTTGTGGCTTTATTGAATCATCTTAGAAATAGGTGAAGCTACAATAAGTTTTTTTTTTTAATTGCATTTTAGGTTTTGGGGTATATGTAAAGAACATGCAAGATTGTTGCATAGGTACACACATAGCAGTGTGATTGGCTGCCTTCCTCCCCATCTGGCATTTCTCCCCATGCTATCTCTGCCCAACTCCCCACCCCCCGCTGTCCAAAGACTGCAATAATTAATAAGGGAGGCACTAGCAAACTCATCCAAATGGAAGCTAGCACAATTAAAATTTTTTTATAATACACACACAAAGTGTTTAGAAGGGCAATACACACAGGAAAACACACATATAGGATTACATGAGCAGGAATGCTGCCAGTGTGAACTGAAAGGGAGGGTGACGGGATGAAATGAAGCTCTTGGACTTTCATTTTATAGGACTTAATTATCTTGCTTTTCTGCTACAAATATAGGCTGTTCTCTAAGAGAATGGAAGAATGATCCGAAAGGCAATTCAGAGATCACTGGGATGCCTCTTTGGTCTCAAAGGTGAGGGACATTATCTTGACTAACCCAGGCCAGGCACCCGGACCCCAGATCCTTGGGTGTATGGCCCATGACCAGCAGAGCCATGGAGTCAGAAGTGCTACCCCAGTGGTTCTGAAAGGCAGAGTGTCAAGCCAGACAGGATTAACATTTAACATTTAATGATATTTGCCTTGCTAGGTTTGGAGCTATCTTGAGATACATTATCCATGTCTTTCTTCAGATACTTGTCTTTGGAATAGGATGTCTATCCTACTCCTGTCCTATAGCTGTATTTTGAAATGGCTTAACTTATCTAGTCTTACAGTTTCATAGCTGGAGGGATGTTTAGTTTCAGGATAGATTTTTACTTGGAGTCTCACCCATATCTGATTTAAAAAATGCTTAGATGAAGTTTTGAATTTTAGACTTCAGAGTTGATGCCAAAATCAAGTAAGGCTGTTGAGGCTGTTAGGATGGAATGAATATACAGTCAGTCTTCCATATCTGTGGCTTTCACATCCATAGATTCAACCATCTGTAAATCAAACACATTTGGGAAAAAATTGCATCTCTACTGAACATGTGAAGATTCATTTTTCTTGTCATTTACTCCCTAAACAATGCAGTATAGCAAATATTTACATCACATTTACATTGTACTAGGTATTGTAAGTAATATAGAAACGATTTAAAGTATATAAAAGGACATGTATAAGTTATATGCAAATATTACAACATTTTATATCAGAAACTTGAGCATCCCGGTTTTGCTATCTGTGAGAGGTCCTGGGGCCAACCCTCCTTGGATGTCAAGGGATGACTGTATTTTGCTTTTGAGAAAGACATGAATTTGTTGTCCTGGGACCCACTGATATGGTCAGAATTGTATACCTACTAATTCATATATTGAAGCCGTTATCTTCAGGGTAATGTTATTTTCTGTGGATATAAATTAGTTTTAAATGAGGTCATGAAAACGAGTCCTCCTTTATAAGGAGACCTCCTCCTTATAAAGAAATTTAGGCTTTCACCAGACATCAAATCTGCTAGTGCCCTGATCTTTGTGTTTCAAGGTTTCATAATCACAGGAGGCAGTTTCTTATAATAAACCTCATGTGTCTTATAATCGTATAAAGGTAGGTAGGTAGGTAGGTACGTAGGTAGGTAGGTACGTAGGTAGGTAGATAGATAGATGACAGATAGACAGATAAATAGATAGATAGATAGATAGACAGATAGACAGACAGACAGAGGTAATAGAGCTTGATGTGGTTTCTCCCCATGAAAACGCATGTTAAAGTTTGATCCCCGATGTAGTAGTATTGGGAGGTGATGCCTGGTATGCGATGTTTGGGTCATGGGGGCAGACCTCTTATGAATAGATTAATGCACTTATTAGGGGGAATGAGTTCTCACTGTTGAGTGAATGGCTTATTTTCCATGAGAGCCGGTTGTTTGAAAGAGTCTGGTTTCCTTGGTTTCTCTCTCTCTTCCTTCCTCCCTTACCCTGTAATCTTTTTGCACCCTTCTGCTTTCTGGCATGAGAGGAAGCAGCATGAGGGAGTCACTCACAAGACCTAGAATCATGAGCCAAATATATCTCTGTTCTTTATAAATCATCCAGTCTTATGTATACTGTTATAGCAACACTAAAAAAACTAAGATATATATAGTCCTCTTCTTCCCTGTGAAATGATAACTAAAGATTCTGGTAGTGTGAGTCAGTAGTTAATATCGGTGGAGTTCACTCTGATACCCAGTTCTCTTTGACTTCCATAAACCACCATCTCCTGCTCATTATTTTTCTGTGTTTTTTATTTTTAATTTTTTTGCCTACTCACCTGGCCAAACACTTATGAACATATACATACAGAATTTTGCAAATGCAAAAAGGATTTCACAAATTGTCTTTTAAAAATCAGGTATTCATAATCTTGTGGTTAAATTCAACTTTTGATATTAAAGGTTTTACTCTTACATGTTTATATTTATTTTTTAATTAAATTTCTTAATTTACATGGCCCACTACATTTCCTAAACTCAATTTTAACCAGATACAATACTGTACTAATGCATTTAAAATCTGTCCTTGAGAATAAACGATCTAGTCCAAAAAACATTAGCTACATAGTAAAATATTTTTACTTAAATAGGTAGATTATGGTCTCTTAAGAATCTGTATTAATTTCCTTCATGTTTCATATTTTCATTATTTTGGGGGTTCTGATCTTTACACTTCTGTAGTCTCTACAATGCTGTATTAGTTTAGTAGGGCTGACAAAGCAAAAATATAATATGACAGACTGAGTGGCTTAAACAATTTTTGTCTCAGTTATGGTATCTAGAAGGCTGAGATCAAAATGTTGGCAGGACTGGTTTCTCCTGGAGCCTTTTCCTTTGGCTTACAGATGGCTCCCTTCTGACTGGGGCCTCACATGGATTTTTCTCTGTGCATATAATCCTTGATGCCTCTTGTGTGTACTGATTTTCGCTACTTATAAAGACACTAGTTAAATTGGATTCAAGCCCACCGTAATGACTTTTTTTAATTCGAATCACCTCTTCACAGACCTTATCTCTAGATGCAGTCACACTCTCAAGTACTGGGCGTTGGGCCTTTAAAACATATATAATTTATTGAAAAATATTTTATTATCCTAGATGATAATGTATTTAATTAGCAGATGACCTGTGAATTGAGTCACAAAAGATAGCTTAAGAGGAAGTACAAATAAGATCAAACTATGTTTCAGTTAACATTTACTCTTTGTCCTTCAAGTTTTTCATTCTATTTCTGTCAGTGAAAACATCATCTTTTACAAAATTTTAATAAAACCTAAAATATATATTTAAAATAGTGAGGAAAGTACAGTGAATCTTCCTTTCCCAACTTACCAGGATTTTGCTACATGTGGTTTATATGTATCCCTTCGTCTTTTTTGTGTGTGTGTGTGAGCCCTTTAAAATAAATTCCACATGTCATTTTACCACCAATTCCCTAAACAGAGGACACAGACTTAATAATAAAGCCAGTATTTTTCAAGAAAAATTACCAAGTGCTTCCTTTGTATAAATTTACACCTAATCAAGAATTAAATTTGTCTGACATCATAAAAATTACACCACTTATGTGAATAAGAGCCATAAAGACCGCATATTGCACATGTATTCGATTGTGTCTCGTAAGTTTCTTACAGTCTATATGTGTCCCGCTCACTCTGTTAGTAGTCCATTCGCATGTACCGTGACCTAATGTGTCTACTTTCTAGGTGCATCTATATTTTTCCCATGCTATCCATTTCCCCATATAAATGGAATTTAATTCTAGACGTTTGATTAGATTCAGGCCAAGTATTTTAATGAGAATATCTCACAGATAGTCCCATGTACTCCATACTCAATTGCATCAGAAAGCACAAAATACTAATCGTCTTATTTTTTCAGTGGATCTGGGTAGTAACAGCTTCATGTTTTCATTTGTAGAGTATTCTAATAATTTTTTCATGTTATGTCACTGAAAATTTATGCTTGACTCAATTATCAACACTAAATTGTTCACTCTACTAAGAAATCATAATTAACAAAACAAATATTGCCTCAAATAATTCAATGGTTTTTTTTTTACTTTCAAAGTAACTTCTTTAGTCACACCAGGCCATCTCTCCCATTTTATCGGGTGATTTCTCACCAGAATTTCTATACCAGAAACTACAGTATTCTTTAAGATTTTCAAACAAATCATATTTCCTTTCCTCTGAATGTTTTCATACATGCTGCTACCTCATTTCTTTACATACCCTATTCACCTGGCTAGTTACTAAGCATTTCAAATTTCAATGACTTTGAACCAACCCAAATGCCCATTAACAATAGACTGATTAAAGAAAATGTGGCACATATACACCATGAAATACTACACAGCCTTAAAAAAGGATGAGTTCATGTCTTTTGCAGGGACATGGATGAAACTGAAAACCATCATTCTCAGCAAACTGACACAAGAACAGAAAACCAAACTCAGCATATTCTCACTCATAAGTGGATGTTGAACAATGGGAACACATGGACTCAGGGAGGAGAACACTGTGCACCAGGGCCTCAGGGGTGGGAGGCTAGGGGAGGAACAGCAGGGGGTGCAGGGATTGGGGAGGGATAGCATGAGGAGAAACACCTAATGCAGATGATGGGGCAATAGATGCAGCAAACCACCACCATGGCATGTGTGTACTTATGTAAGAAACCTGCACGATCTGCACATGTACCCCAGAATGTAAAGAATAATAAATAAATTTTAAAAAATAAAATAAAATAAAATAAGTAAAAATACAAAAAAAACAAAGGTATGTGATAAAAAATATTTTCAAATTGTTTAAAAATAAAAATGACATCTATCTGCAAATGCTGCCTTAGAGTTAAATCTATACTTCAAATATAAAAGGGGAAAATATCCAGTTGTTTGATGCTTCATTTTTCTGTTCTATTTTGAGACTATTCAAACCGTAATAATAAAACATTTGACTATTCTTTATTCTACATGATTTCTGGAGTGGATAATTAAAATCTCTTCTTAGCCAACATCAGTACTTCATGAATTAGGCAGCGTTTTGAGGTAGGCTCTTAGAAAGGGAAATAGAAAAGAAAGTATATATTTATGAGTACTATGTTCAAAAACAGAGGTGCTACTATCTGTGGTCGATTTGATGGTGGTCTCCAAAAAGTCATGTCCTGTGTCCTAACCCCAGGAACCTGTGCATGTTCTCTTATTTGGAAGAAAGAACTCTTTGCAGATAAATAAGGTAAGGACCTAGAGATGAGACCTGGATTATGGTGTTCCCTAAATCTAATGACAAGTGTCTTTATTAGAAAGGAGAAGGTGAGAAGACACAGTCACATAATAGAGAAGGCCACATGGAAACCCACATAACCATGGATATAAGGACTGCAGTAATGCTGTCACAAGCCAAGTAATTCCTTGAGCCACCAAAAACTCAAAGTGTCAAGGAAGGATTCTTCCCTGAGTCTCTACAAAGGGAGATTTTCCCTTCTGACACCTCGATTTTGGCCTCTCAAACTCCAAAATTTTGAGAGAATGAAATTCTGTTGTTTATCACCACTAGTTTGTGGTGATTGTAATGGCAGTCCTAAGAAAACAATGTGCCATCCCTCCTGTGTTCACATCCTGAGAACCAGTCAAGGTATTCAGATGACCTCATGATTATCTTGTGTTCATATTTGGTACAAGCATCTCTTAAAGCAAGGTCATCTAAATGGTATGTTCATCTGTTTCACCATACATTTTATGATAACATAGTTATTTTACAAAACCCAAACAAAGTCTGAATGTTTTAAAAAGGAGAGAAATGTATAATACTGGTGTATATGCAGAAGTTTTTTCTCCTCCTTCATAAAATGAGATTATTCCAAAGAAAATCAATCCACCATGCATCCTTTCAGTCTCGATTCTTCTTAACTGCTCATCTACATCTCTATTACTTTTGGGTTAGAGTAGTGTAGACACAGCATTTTCACATTCTCATTCCATTTCCTTCTCTTCTATTCTTATTTAACTTCCTCAAATTCTGTAGTTTTATATCTTCCACATAATTCATCCTCCCTGGTAGACTTCTTGCCCCGCCACAATATTTATTATTTTTTAAATATTTTAATCTTTCTTCTTATTTGTTACTTCCACTTTGAAATTTCCTCGTGACCATATCCACATGCTGAAATGTTCATTTATTTTTAGAGACCCTTCAAATGATCTATTGTCCACAATGTCTTTTCAGAGATAGCTAGTCAGAATTAATATTTCCTCATATTCTTCAGTTGCAGTCATGAAAATTTTTCATCATCTGTAATATCTATTATTGTCACAAGACCATGCAGCTGCCACCACACTTTTGTGGGACTACAAACAATGAAATATCATTAATTTCTGAAAAACTGGCCCTAACCTTTATCACTTGCTTCTTTCACTCCTGGCTTTTAACACTGCAATTTGTCATAATGTTTTAATACCTTATTCAAGTGGTGTGGCAGGCACTAATTAATTGCTATGCTGAGATTCTTCTTATATCAAAAAGTGTAAAATGTGATTTGGATGAGGAATAAGAACTGCTTCAATCTCAGGCTCAAAAAAGGCTTTTTTGAGAAAAAAATAATAATACTCTGAAATTTGAAATGCTTAGGAACTAGCCAGGTGAATAGGGTATGTAAAGAAATGAGGTAACAGCATGTATGAAAACATTCAAAGGAAAGGAAATATAACCTGTTTGAAAACCTTAAAGAATACCGTAGTTTCTGCTGTAGAAATTCTGGTAAGAAATCACCTGATAAAATGGGAGAGACAGCCTGGTGTGACTATGGAAGTTTAGGTTTATAAAAGGTTATTTTCACAATATAAAAGTCAGATGTTTTTGAACTTTGACAACTGAAAAGAGTAAAGTAATTTAGGACTCAACGGTAAGAATCTTTAGAAAAATATCAAAGTAATATGATTATTTCTTTTTTTCCGACTTTCGTTTGTTTTTTGTTCTGTTTTGAGACAGAGTCTAGCTCTGTTGCCAGGCTAGAGTGCATTGGTGTGATCTCAGCTTACTGCAATCTCCACCTCTCAGGTTCAAGTAATTCTCCCGTCTCAAGCTCCTGAGTCACTGAGATTACAGGCATGCACCACCACACCCAGCTAACTTTTGTATTTTATTAGTAGAGATGGGGTTTCACCATGTTGACCAGGATGGTCTTGACCTCTTGACTTCATGATCTGCCCACCTCAGCCTACCAAAGTGCTGGGATTACAGGCATGAGCCTCCATGCCCAGCCAGTAATAGGATTTTTAAAAATAAAAGGAAAGTTGATGATAGCTGAGAAAATGACTAGGAGTGTTTATAAATGAATACATCAACACTTGCATAACTCTCTTTGGTGGCCTACATGGCTCATGGCTTGACCCAACACACTCTTTAGGATGTGAAGTAAAGGAATTAGTGACCTCTTGCTTTGAAGAAAAAGGCTCTATGAAAATTATTTGCAAATTGTGAGTAAAGATTTTACTGACTCTCTACATAATGCAATAAGTAAGTATCAATGTGCACCGCATGACATCTATTTAAAATATGGGTTTTATTATAATAGAAATTGAAATCCCCTTGTAATAAGAAGTGAAAAAAAGTGAAATTAATTTACCTGTAGTAAAAGCTTGTTTATTTTCAGGCAAGAGAATCCAGCATTGATTTTTGCTCCTGTTGTTCAGGAAAGTCACATTCTCTGGAAATAAGAGGAACTCATTATATTAAAATTATATCATAGATGATAAATTCTCATTGTTCTATATTGGCATAAATATGTTCTTTAAAGCTGAATATTATTCAAGATCTTATTTAGACACTTTTCTTTGTTGCACATGTTAAAGAAAACTGCTCGAAAGCTTCTCTCACTTTCCGCTTTTAATTGGGAATTCACATAGAAATTACATTAATATTATAGAGACAGAATTTCCACAATGCAAGTTGATTGCTGGATTTAGACTGTCTGCTTTCAAAGGAATACAATGAAAGAGATTGAGTTACTGGTATTGAGGGTCTACAATGCCATTTTTTATTAGACTGACCTGCATCCCAATTTTGCCCTGGGCTGTTCTGATTTGTGCCTATTGTCCCAGTGTACTTATTAATATTGCCCCCCTTTTGTTCTCAAAAATATCCAGATTGGACTGTAAATAATATGGTCACCCTATTTAGTTAATATTTGAGGCATACTTTTTATGTTTCTATCAGTGCAAACACTATTCTTGTAAGCAAACTTTTAAGAGAGGTGACCATTTTTCAGACAATGAAACTAAGCCTTCACATACCTGATTCATGCGATCCAGAAGCAAACCCCAAACTGCTGACTCACAAGTCTACATCTTTCATTTACAGAGCCACACAGCCTTTCTAATACTTGATAAATGAATGATGAAGTGAAATACTATGTCAGGTATTTGAAGGAAAGAGTAAATGGTAGGACTGTACCACCATTTACAGGGAATCTATTGAATAAAAACATCTAAATAAATTAAGTCGACCAGATTAACTTGCCTATTTCATAAATACGGATAATCTTTGTATTGCTTTCTAAATAACCTAAGCCTCAACTCTATCAGAACCAATGAAACAAAAAACTCACAAAAAAACATTACTAGACATTCACTATGAATGGGGTGGTAGGTTTAAGATAGAACATTTTAACTCAATGAAGATCTCCAAGAATTGTTCTCTGTGGTCCCAAACCTCATAGTGTCCCAAAACTATCTTGTGTATACAGGGGCTTATCAAGTTTATGGTTTTTTTCTTAACTACATATTTTAATCTAACATTAAATTCTGAATTCCACATGGGATTGAGATTTGATAAGCATTCAATGCATTTCTAATGACATGTCCTGTATTATATGTAAACGCTTCTATTGTTATGTAAATTCATTTCATTTGAGAACCAACAACAGAGAGATCTTATTTAAGGTGGTTGACTGGTTTTCCAGACAAGGGGTCCTCAATTGTAAAACTAGGGTATTTTGGTAAAAAATCTGTAACACTGGCAGCTCATGCTCCTCATAAATATGATGCCTATGACATATGAACACAGTTACAATACTATGTACTATGTCTTTACCTCTGTTGATTATCTATCATCTATCTATCCATTTTTCTTTTTCTCTATCCATTCAGGTAACATAATATGCACTAAAAGTATTAATTTTGCTTTAGTTCACAGCTTTCTGGACTAGAAAATTCTTTATATCTCTTTCAACCTATCTTTTTGCATCTAATTATAATGAGAAAAGTTAGTCGTGGGCCAAATTAAGGTCCTATTTCAGAGTAACAGACACACTAGACAAAAGACTGACAGACCCTGAAAGTGAGCTGTAACAGTATCAGCGTCACGCAGAGGATGTGAAACCCCAGACCTGAGTCAGAATCTCTGAGGATGAAGCTCAAATATATTACTTTAAATATCACAATAGACCAGGCATGGTGGCTCATGCTTGTAATCCCAGCACTCTGGGGGGCTGAGGCAGGTGGATCACGAGGTCAGGAGATTGAGATCATCCTGGCCAACATGGTGAAACCCTGTCTCTACTAAAAAATACAAAAGTTAGCTGGGCGTGGTGGCATGCATCTGTAGTCCCAGCTACTGGGGAGGCTGAGGCAGGCGAATTGCTTGAACTCAAGAGGCAGAAGTTGCAGTGAGCTGAGATCAAGCCACTGCTCTTTAGCCTGGTGACAGAGCGAGACTCTGTCTCAATAAATAAATAAATAAATAAAAAATCACAACAGACATGTGGCTCATAGTGAAAAAATAATAAGATGAATTGAAAAAGAAGAATTTGATTATAGAATTACACAACAATATCAGAGTTAAAATTGGTATCAGTTAAGATTATGATTGCAATTGGCACTAGAAAAACCGAAATAAGTGTTTTGAACTATAAGATTGCACAGTTATAGAAATAAAAACACTAATTAAGAAAATGGGAAATATGGAAGAAGTAGAGATTAAGATTAGAACTTTCTGTTTGATATTTATGATATTGAAATTATCAGAAAATGAAAAACTTCAAAATTTATGATATATGAATTACATCATAATGCTGGCATATAAAAGAGAAATACAGGGTAAAAATCTTCATAATTAATTCACTAATGATACTTAAAATTAGAGCTTGGTGGCCAGGCGTGGTGGCTCACGCCTGTAATCCCAGCGCTTTGGGAGGCCGAGACGGGTGGATCACGAGGTCAAGAGATCGAGACCATCCTGGTCAACATGGTGAAATCCCGTCTCTACTAAAAATACAAAAAATTAGCTAGGCATGGTGGCGCGTGCCTGTAATCTCAGCTACTCAGGAGGCTGAGGCAGGAGAATCACCTGAACCCAGGAGGTGGAGGTTGCGGTGAGCCGAGATCGCGCCATTGCACTCCAGCCTGGGTAACAAGAGCGAAACTCCGTCTCAAAAAAAAAATGGAGCTTGGCATATGAGAAAATGCTCAATATTACTGATAATTAGAGAAGTGCAAATCAAAACCAAAATAAAATACTGTCTCACACCAGTCAAAAAATAGATGCTGGTGATGATGTGGAGAAAAGGGAACACCGTTGGTGGGAGTGTAAATTAGTTCAACTATTGTGGAAAGCAGTGTGGCAATTCCTCAAAGAGCTAAAAAGAGAATCACGATTCAAGCTAGCAATCCCATTACTGGGTATCCCTAGAGGAATATAAATCATTCTCCTATAAAGACGCATGCATACATATGTTCACTGCAGCAGTATTTACAGTAGTAGAGACACAGAGTTAGCCTAAATGCCCATCAGTGGCAGACTGGATAAAGAAAATGCTGTAGGTATGTACCATAGTATAATGTGCAGCCCTCGAAAAGAATGAGACTGTATCTTTTGCAGGAATATGGAGAGAGCTGGAGGCCATGATCCTTAGCAAACAAACAGGGAAATGGAAAATCGAGTACCACATGTTCTCATTTATAAGTGGGAGCTTAATCATGAGAACATACAGACACAAAGAGGGAACAATAGACACTGGGCTCTCCTTAACAATGGAGGAAGGGAGGAGGCAGAGTATTAGAAAAAATAAATATTGGTATAGGCTTAATACCTGGGCCATGAAATAATCTATACAACAAACTCTTGTGACATGAGTTTACCTATGTAGCAAACCTGCTCATGCACCCCTGACCCTAAAATAAAAGTTCAAAAATAATAATAAAGCTTGGTAGGCATGCAACTTCTTGACTTTTCTGTAATTTAAAAATCTCAAAAACTCATGTTCTACCTCATGCTAGATAGTCATAAGCAATTCAAGTTAAACACAGTTATTTCAGTATTCTTTGTTACTTCAAATTCACACTTAAGGAGCTCAAGAAGTTTCCCTCTTGCTTCTCTCTAGAACTTTCTTTTCTAAGAGGTTGCATGATCGCTATATATAGTGAGGAAGGAGCAAAGCTCCTGGCCTGTGGGTGTGTTCTGCCCTCTGCTGGCATCCTATTCTTCACACTGTCAGGCAGAGATTCTTGTCATCACAAACCCCATTCTGGTAACCAGCTTTATGGTTCAATCTAATTTATTTACTACGTGCCTCTAATGACAATCACGAAACCTCCTCAGAGCCATTTGCTTTCTGTTGCTTAACTTCCACTCTCTGCCAGTTAAGGTAACATGAGATTCCTCCTTTTATCTGACCAAATCATAGGGGACCTATCTGTGAGGATGTTCTAAGCCCACGTTCCTAGGCCCAGGATACTTGGAAAGATTTTTTAGGTTTCCTAGATGATCAGGTATGAATGCACACCAGGTTTATCTATTCTTTGAATCCTGACATCCCTTCTTTTCATCACTCCATATCATGGTGAATTCTGAGATGAAAGAATTCCTTTCCCAGATCTCACTAGTGTCTAGCCCTTTCATTTCCTCCTCAGACTTTCCCTTTTTTCACTGCAAAATCTTCATTTAGTTTGGACAAAGGGCAAAAGAAGAGTGGGATAAAATAGTCCTGCTTCGTAAAATCTTTACTTGGTTTGTGCTATGGTCTGAATGGATGTTTCATACATTGAAACTTAAACCCCAATGTGATCATATTAAGAGGTGTGGCCTTTGGGAGTGATTGGGTCCTAAGGGCTGTACCTCCATTGACGTCTTTGTAAAAGAGGCCTAAGGCAGCTTGTGAGGCCTTCCTTTCTACCATGTGAGTATACAGATTTGGTTACAGCAGCCCGAACAGACTGAGGTAGCTTACAGCTAGATCCTAAATATTTGATGTTATATACCAGGAATTGTTACATCTTTTTTTTTTTTTTTTTGAGACAAAGTTTTGCTCTTGTTACCCAGGCTGGAGTGCAATGGCGCAATCTCGGCTCACCGTAACCTCCACCTCCTGGGTTCGAGCAATTCTCCTGCCTCAGCATCCTGAGTAGCTGGGATTACAGGCATGTGCCACCATGCCCAGCTACTTTTTGTATTTTTAGTAGAGACGGGTTTCACCATGTTGACCAGGATGGTTTCGATCTCTTGACCTTATGATCCACCCACCTCGGCCTCCCAAAGTGCTGGGATCATCTTTACTCTCTGATTATACTTTCTTTCCATTCGGGAAAACTTCATATATTGTTCTTTCTTTCTTTTTTTTTTTTTTTTTTGAGATGGAGTTTTACTCTTGTTACCCAGGCTGGAGTACAATGGCACAAACAAGCGATTCTCCTGCCTCAGCCTCCTGAGTGCTGGAAATACAGGCCTGTGCCACCGCGCCCAGCTAATTTTGTATTTTTAGTAGATACAAGGTTTCAGCACGTTGGTCAGCGTGGTCTCAAACTCCTGACCTTAAGTGATCTACCCGCCTTGGCCTCCCAAAGTGCTGGGATTACAGGTGTGAACCACATTGTCAGGCATCATATATTGTTATTTCAATAAAAGTAAATGTCGGAAAAATATTTCATTTCAATGAAAGTAAATATGAAAAAAATACAAATGGAGAAAAATACATTAGTATTTGTACAAATACATATTTGTATTTGTAAATACATCCAAAATACTCAAAACAGTCTCTCCCACTCTCTCAGTGTGAATGTGTGTGCGTGTGTGCATGTTGTGTACATGCGTGTGCACGTGCTTGGGTGTGCATGCATGCGTGTGTGTGTGTGAGAGAGAAAAAGAGAGGAGAGGAGAGGAGAGAGAGAGAGAGAGAGAGAGAGAGAAAAGATGTATAAATTATGGTAGGTACTATCCAGAGGGATTTTTTTTTTTTATGAAAATAGAGACAGAGTTTAAAAATGAGCTTTTAAGGTATTCTCAGTATAAAATGGAATATGTGTGTGGTCTCGATTATGTTTGGTTGGTGAAAATACAATGTAAGAAATTAGTATATATGAATGAACAGAATTTTTGTTTATAGAAAGTTATCTTTCAAGAAAATATTTGGAAACTCTAGTATGGAAAATATATAGACTCATGTGGCTACAAGAAAAACAGAGAATCCAGTGCTGAATTTGGGAGAAATTTATCTAAAGGATATATTCAATAGAAGGGTTTGAATTTTGAATCAAAAAGAAATTCAATGAATCTGAAGATTAAAATTCAGAACCTTATTTTGAAATTTAGATAGGCCATTTGTTCTTAACTTGGATATGGTAAGACCCAGTTCAATAAACCAAACAAGTGTTTATCCACATTTTTTCACCTCTACTGGTTGTTGGCATTGCTGTTTGGAAGTAAGTCTAGAGTAGAAAATGCCCGCACACACTCCAGTGGTGGTGGCGTTTCAGTGGGTCTGGTTTGGTGTGATTTTGATTGCCTCTGCTTGTTTGTTTTACCTGCTCCTTTCCACTGCGAAAGAGGCCTCAGTCCATGCAAAGAGGATTAGGTGGGGCTCGGTCAAATTTGTCTTCTTGCTGATGGTTATAAAAACACAGTACTACTGACAAGTTATGCACTGGGAGTGTCCTCTGAGTTTTCACTTCAGTTTTTGTTCACAATTCATGAGACTGCAGGGAGAACGTGTTTTCTACTGCACCTGAAATGAGAAATGAGGACTGTGAACTACTAAAGAATGTTGGAGGAGGAAATTAGGCAGATAAAGCTTAAATTCAGCAGTCTGATAAGCTAAACTTGATAACTACAGACAAAAGTGGAAGACTGAAAAAAAATGCATAGCTTTCTGAAGTATATGGAAAACAGTCAAGAGAAATTTAAATGCATAAATATAATATTTTCTAGAAGAAAATCATTTTGACATCAAAATTGTCAGTGTTTTAGTGGACTATTTGCATTGCTAAATCTACAGGACATTTTCAAAGTATAATTTCTGATTCCAGGAGAAAAGGAATAATTAAAAAAGAGAGTGGCCATTTGTGAAAAGCAAAATAGTTGAAGGAAAACAAATATAGTTACCTTTTAAACAAAAAACGGAGGCTTTTAAAGACTTTAATATGATATTCCTAGTTTTGATAAAAATCGCTACTTTTCTGGAAAAATAATTTTGCTTTATAAATCATTATTATTCATCCCTTTGTTCATTAAATACTCAGGAAGCAGCTTCCAGACAAGGTGTTAGGGGCTTTTTCACAATGTGAATGAACTCAAGTTATTCAAAGACAAGAATGAAGAGACATATTATCTAAAACTTTAACATGATGTAAAAACTGCTTTAATTATTCAATTTAAAATATTTTTGAGTGCTTATTTAGCTTCAAGCTTTGTGTCATGAGTGGGGATAGAGCTTGATATATACATATATGTGAGAGAGGCCGGGCATAGATATGTATAAGAGACACCAGGGGCGGTGGTTCACGCCTGCAATTCCAGCATTTTGGGAGGCCTCAGTAGGTGGATTACTTGAGGTGAGGAGTTCAAGAACAGCCTGGCCAACATAGTGAAACCCCATCTCTATAAAAATACAAAAATTAGCCAGGCATGGAGGCACGTGCCCGTAATTCCAGCTGCTTGGGAGGCTAAGGCGGGGGAATTGCTTGAACCCAGGAGGCAGAGGTTGCAGTGAGCTGAGATGGTGCCACTGCAGGAGGAACAGCAGGAGATTCCATCTCAAAAAATAAAAAGGCGGGGGGGTATTTGTGAGAGAGGGAAGGAGAGATGTATAAACAATGAAATAATGTAAATCCTATATAAAAATGAGACAGCTGGGAAGGGCTCCCTGAAACACTAGAGGCGGCCTGCGCACTGGGGTGGAGACTCTGGAAATTGCTGGGGGTTTGCAGCAGCTCGGAGCCTGGCCCCTCCTCTTCCTGTCTGGAACCTGGGGTTCAAACTTCCAGGCGGCAAGTGCACCAGCAGGCACTCTGGGTTTGCGGAGAGTCTCTGTTTCTCCCTTAAAACTTTTTCACCGGCCAGGCGCGGTGGCTCACGCCTATAATCCCAGCACTTTGGGAGGCTGAGGAGGGTGGATCACGAGGTCAAAAGATCGAGACCATCCTGGTCAACAAGGTGAAACCCCGTCTCTACTAAAAATACAAAAATTAGCTGGGCATGGTGGTGTGCGCCTGTAGTCCCAGCTACTCGGGAGGTTGAGGCAAGAGAATTGCTTGAACCCAGGCGGAGGTTGCGGTGAGCCGAGATTGTGCCATTGCACTCCAGTCTGCTTAAGAACAGCGAAACTCCGTCTCAAAAAAAAAAAAAACAAAAAAAAAAAAAAACAAAAAAAACTTTTTTCCCAAAAAAAAACCATTTTTCTCACTCCTCAAATCGTCCGCGAACCTAAATTTTCGTGGCTGTGCGGTAAGGACCTCATCCTGAGCTGAACTAAGGAAAATTCCTGCAACAAAAAGGCATTTTATGTTTTACAAGGTGATCAAAGAGAGGTGGCTGGGTCTTTTTGAAAGCATCAGACTATGTTTTCTGAACAAAGTCAAATTCATGCTTCAGAAAGGTGGTACAAAAAAGTGCCTTATCAACTGATATGGAGTGACCAGGGTGTGCTTCACAGAAGAGGTAAAGATTGAGCAGATTCTTGAAATAAAATAACAAAACTGTCAGGAAAACAAAGACGGAGGATATTTTACAGAGAGACCAACATGGGCAAAAACAAGAAAGTGCAAATTAGCAGATGGCACTCGTGAAATTTAATTTGTCACTGACCAAGGCAGCTGCTTTAAAAGTTCCCCTAAACCTGACTAAACTTTACACCAGTTTCTTCCCGGCTCAAGGTCCTTGATCTCTCTTTTCTTAGAGCACTTACTTTAGAAAACTTAAAATTGTAAATTCTTTCACTGCAGCTTTCAGATGTAAATCTTCTCTTGCAAGTTTTACAGATTAGGAATGTCTTTCTCCAGGTCCTGAGAGTCATCCCGTTGAAAAGTATGTAGCAAGAAAGATAGAGCCCCTATATCCAGTCTCTATAGAAATGTAGGAGGCCCAATCAAATTACCAACCTCCCTGCGAAGTCCTCTAGTACTTGCCATTGAAAACTATCCCTTCTTTTGTTTCAGGGAGATAACTTTAGCCTCTCTCCGGTAGTGCAATAGTGTTATAGTCTTGCCTCCCTCTGCAATTTGCCTATTAACTCTAGCTGGTGACATTTTTGTTTTCTTCTTCTTCTTCTTTTTTTTTTTTTTTGGCAGTGTGACTAGAGCACAGGACGGGGAATTTGCTTGTAGAGATAGGTAAAATCCAGCAAATGGAGATTTTGTAGACCCTTAGGGAAATGTTTTAAGCAGACAAGAGAAAGACAAACTGATTTGGAATCCTAGGACTGGAAGAAAACCAAATCGTAATGTTAGTTTGTCGTATATTCCCCCACCAAACAGAAGAAGCCCATGCAGGAGAAGTGTTTCAAGCTCATAGTCTAGGAAAAGAGCCCATGATCTAGGAAAAGAAGGTGACCCAGAAAGATTATGCCTTCCTTGGACCAAATGCGTGTCCCTCCAATAATACCAAGCAAGATTCCACCCGCAAAAAGAATCCATCAGGGCCTAGTAAACATTGAGGGGCCAGTAGAAGCACTCTCTCACCAGGCTCATCCTGAAACCCCACTCCCACAACCAGGAATATCCAGGTAGCTGTGTGCCAACCAGCAAGGGGGACCTCGCCTTAACAGGTGGCGAGTAGAATAGCCCAGGAAATATATTATAAAATACTCCTAGAACCAGTGAGTGAGTTCACGAAGGTTGCAGGATACAAGATTAACAAACAAAACTCAATCACAGTTTGTATGCTAACAAGGAATATTTAGAAATTGAAATTAAAACTCACCAACCATTTGCAATTATGCTAAAGAAAATTTAATACTTAGATATTAATATAACAAAACATGTACAGGGTTGACATGGTGCAAACTATAAAATGTTAATAAGAGAAATAAAAAATAAAATAAAATACTGATAGATTAGAACACTCAACATAGTAAAGGTGCCAGTTCTCCCCAAATTGTTTTGTATTAGGTTGGTGCAGAAGTAATTACGGTTTTTATCATTAAAAGTAGTGCCATTAAAAAATGCAATTACTTTTGTACGAACAGGTGTAAGCTACTATAAATATTCATATGCAGATTTTTGCCTAAACATAAGTGTTTAGTGAGGCAAATACCTAAAAGTAGAGTGGCTAGATTGATAGTGTATAATGAATTACCAAATAGTCCAAATGGGCTGTGCTATTTCCCAGTACCTACATTTGAATGTTTCAGTTTGTCTGAGTTCTTGCTAGCACTTAGTACTTTGAGTAATTTTTAGCCACTGTAAGAGATTTGTTGTGGTATCTAGGTGTGTTTAATTTGCATTTCAGTAATGGCTAATTATACTGAATATCTTTGATAAGCGTATTTGACATTTATGTATATTCTTGGGTGGAATATCTGCTGAAATATTTTGCCTAGTTTCTGTTTTTTTTTTTTTTTTTAACCGAATGTTAAGAGTTCTCGATATATACCAAATACGAGTTAGAGAGAATTCATAAAGGCAACAGAACTATTTAATAAAAAGGTGTAGCCGTATAGATAGCATTGTAAAACTGGAAATGAGGATTTCTACATAGCAGAAATTGAAATTGGGGAAACAGTATTATCATTTGTTGCTATGTTCCTTTTTTTTTCTATTTCCCTTAGGGACATGGTCTTGCTCTGTCACCTGGACTGGAGCAGTGGCGTGACTATAGCTCAGCCTCCTGAGTAGCATGGATTACAGGCTTGCAACACCACACTGGCTAATGGTTTTTAATGTATTTGTTGAGATAGAGTCTCACTATGCTGCCCAGACTGGTCTTGAACTTCTAGTCTCAAGCAATCCTTCCCACTCAGCCTCCTAAATGTTGTTTTTAGTGTCAATACTCTGAGTTTAAAAACTAGTATTTCAAAGGAAAACATATTCATCTGTCCTTACACTTTTGCCTTATTAAATCTTCATAGCTAAATATATATCTTATTTTCAGAACTTGAGAAAAATTAAATTTATACAAATTTAATTATCTTGATACCTAGACGTTTCTTTAGGCTAAGTACACTTGGGTACTTATGACTAGAAGGCAGGGAAGTGGTCTGAGCATCAGGCTCAAGCATTATCCATATGACTGTAAAGTGGGAATGATAATAGTCATGCCTGCCTCGTATGGTGGCTCAGGAAGTTAAATAAGGTAAACCAGGTTAAATATATAGGACAATGACTACCATTCCTTACTTATTTAATACATAATTATTATAATGATTATTTTAAAATACTTTAAAACACTACAATGGTTTCTCAAATCTCTACTTCATCCTATCTGTATAAAGATCTACACTCCTTTTTTTTTTACACCAAATAGGAAATAAAGTATATAATTTTTTTAAAGATAAAGATAAATTTGAAGAAAAGCTGACTTTCATTAGAGTTTGTCTGAAGCAGTGTTGCTATTGTGTGATCCTATATCATTAGAAGCATCTGTACCTGATACTTTGTTACTATTTGTCTTTCAGCAAGAAGGGAAACATAAAGTACCCACTGTGAACCTCTAGTTATTTTTCTAAGCCTTCTCCAGCAATTATCATCGTCGGTTTTTATCTAGCGTTTTACTTCTGTCTGGTCCACTTCT